GCAGGTCCTCCCTAGAAGATCTTCATCTCCAAGGTGGTTATTTTAGGGAGACATGTTCAGACAGGTAAACTGGGCTGGAACCATTCCTTCCCTCCATACATAACAAGGGAAAGGAGAAAATCCCATCCACATCATACATTATGGGGAAAACAACATGAAGACAAGGCTCCAGTATGTATCAGACACATCTGGGAATATCCTATTCCAGGATGTGCCACCTAGCCACAGAATAGCCCATCTTTGATGGTCTGGGTGCTCATTATTGACAGTCTTGGGTGAGATGGGGAAATGTTGTTCTTCAATAGACACCTCATTTTATTAAAGCCAAGTTGATTGAGAACAGAATGAGAGAGGCAAATGTGTTTGTGAGTCTGGAATGTTATTGGAATGACCAGAAAGAAACTGTTTCTGCCTTTGCTTCTTCCAAAGCCTCTACTTTTGGTTTCGCGGCATTCTGTTGTGCTGCTGCTGCAACTGCTCTAGCTTTGCTTTTGATTGTGGTTCGGCTTGCTATCCTTTTCCCCATCTTGCCATACTGCACGTGGCTGCCGGGTATAGTGGTTTGAAGCCAGGTGGCACTGGCAAGTGCATGCCACTCTTGGGGTGGGGATCGGGTTGGCGAGGGTCAACTATGTGTGATAGGTTGACATTCCTCTGTACCAACGTCTCTTCTTAATTGCACGGTGTGGTTAATCCTTCCTGCTGTGGTTCAATTTATTTTCCTGGAATGTGTACTTTACTTTCGTGATATAGATGCACCTAGCCCAGGCATGGGCAAACTTGGGCCCTCTGGGTGTTTTGGACTTCGACTCCTACCATTCCTAACAGCCTCAGGCCCTTTCCTTTTCCCCTTCAGGTTCTCAAGTCACTCCTGACACGGAAACAAAACAAAACCAAACCATGTCCCATTTTTTTCGTCTTGCCTGAAACTAGATATTGACTAACGTGCATTGCTTGCGGGATTCTGGAAATCCAGATGAGGATCACAGAGCAGATTTAACAGTGCTTCATTGCAGAAGATTCCTTCTCTGTAGTAGCCTGGTGATCAAAGTATGAGGGTTGAATGAAAAGTAATGCCTCCACCTTTGTAACTCCTCAACAGATGGCAGTACTGGTATGCGGCAGGTACTGGCTTGTTTGGTAGACTCTCCTCTACAGTTCCGTTTTGGAAGGAAGCCTTAGCATTGAATCGTTGTGTTGTTAAAATACGAAGTATGGAACCCTGCGCAGATGGTCAGTCAATGTGACCTACGTTTATTTATTTATTTATTTATTTATTTATTTATCGTGTCAGGAGCAAATCAAACAGTTGTATTGCATTTTTAACAAACAAACAAACAAAACACAAAGTTTGCAAGCTTGGTAGTTGATTAAATGTCCTTTGACTAGTAACTGGTCACTTGGAGTGCCTCTGGTGTTACTATAAGAAGGTCCTCCATTGTGTATGTAGCAGGGCTCAGGTTGCATTGCAGCAGGTGGTCTGTAGTTTGCTCTTCTCCACACTCGCATGTCGTGGATTCCACTTTGTGGCCCCCATTTCTTAAGGCTGGCTCTGCATTTTGTGGTGCCAGAGCGCAGTCTGTTCAGTGCCTTCCAAGTCGCCCAGTTTTCTGTGTGCCCAGGAGGGAGTCTCTCATTTGGTATCAGCCATTGATTGAGGTTCTGGGTTTGAACCTGCCACTTTTGGACTCTTGCTTGCTGAGGTGTTCCAGAGAGTGACTCTGTATATATTAGAAAACTATTTCTTGTTTTAAGTCGTTGGCATACTGGCTGATACCCAAACAGGTGGTGGGCCGGAGATATCACTGCCTTGGTCCTTTCATCTTGCTGAGGTGTTCCAGCGAGTGTTTCTGTAGATCTTAGAAAACTATTTAAGTAATGTGTAATGTCATTGAATTCTTGACAGCAGAAGGTGTCACCCCAAAGGAAATTCATCAGAGAATGCAAGCTGTTTATGGAGATTCCATCTGAACATGAGGAAGAACTTCCTGACTGTGAGAGCCGTTCAGCAGTGGAACTCTCTGCCCTGGAGTGTGGTGGAGGCTCCTTCTTTGGAAGCTTTTAAACAGAGGCTGGATGGCCATCTGTCGGGGGTGATTTGAATGCAATATTCCTGCTTCTTGGCAGGTGGTTGGACTGGATGGCCCATGAGGTCTTTTCCAACTCTTTGATTCTATGATTCTATGGTGATTGTGTTGATGTGAGTACTGTGCGTCGCTGGGCGAGTAAGTTTAAAGATGTTGAGGTGGGAACATCTGACTTGCATGACAAACAAAGAGTTGGACATCCTGTGACAGCAACCACTGAGTTCCACAAACAAAAGGTGGACAGATTGATTCAGGACAATCGTCGTATCACTCAGAGAGAAATTTCAAGCATAATCGGCATTTCACAAGAACATGTGGGTCACATTATTGCTTTGCTTGGCTATCGGAAGATCTGTGCACGATGGGTACCCAGGATGCTGATGCCTGAAATGAAAGTGCAGACTTGAAACTTCAGAGACTGGATCTCACCACCGTAAGACATGCTCCATACAGTCCAGATTTAGCACCGTCTGACTTCTATCTGTTCCTGATAATGAAAGAAAATCTGCGGGAACATCATTATGCTTCTGATGAAGACGATGAGAGAGCTGGTTGCGGAAAGAGAGTGTCGACTTCTTCCGTGATGGCTTCAGAAAACTTGTTCATTGTTGGCAGAAATGTATCTAATTGTCTGGTGATTATGTGGAAAAGTCAATAGCAGTAGTTAAAGAGCACAGTCTAAGGATTATTTCTGTGTTTGATTTATTAAAATATTCCATCCAAACCAAAGTAACAAAGGTCAGAGGAAACAACCAGGCACATCTTAACACCTCTCAACAAAAGATTTTCCCAGGCTCAGCCAGGTCTTCAAATGCTAATGAAGGTGGTCAGTTGAAACATTCACACCTAGCTCCAGCAGAGAAGAGCTCTTTGCCCCACCCCAGGCATTCCACAGATATATAAACCCATTGTCCTAATTCCAACATAGATGCAGGCGAAACGTCATAGATGCAGGTGAAACATCAGGAGAAATGCCTCTAGAACATGGCCCTATAGCCCGAAAAAACCCACAAGAACCTAGTGATTCCAGCCTTCGACAATACGTCAGAGGCATTACTTTTCATTCAACCCTCGTAATAGTAATATTTGACTTGTAATTAGTTATTATCTGTGCAAGGCATTAATTTGGAACAGAGAGACAAAGTCACGATTCTCAAAAACTCCAGAAACACAGCACTGATGTAAGGAATGTTTGGTCCTGCAGATGTTTTGGACTACAACTCCCATAATTCCTTGTTTTGCCTCTATTAAATTAAACAGCTGGAGGAGAAAAATTCCTGCCCTGACTTAGATGAATGCATCTGGATATATTTATGCAATGTCATACTATTATACAAGATATTTTCCAGAGAAAGGTTTGAAAACGGATATCTGTTTTGGGTCATTTGTTTTGAACCAGGAGGAGAGATGATTGTAGATTGCGCATAGTGTTGCCTTCTGCCCAGGACTCAGCACAATATGGGCGTAACTCTGCCAGAAGGACCTGGCAGACATGGCCGACTCTTTATCTCCATAAGGACCACAGCTGTGGCAACAAGTCTGGGTGCAGGTCGGGGACAGCTTTGGGAAGGTGCAAAACCAAAATGAAACACTCAAGAAAAACAAGCAAACTATTTGCTTGGAAAAACGAAGGAGATTGGAAACAGATGCGCCGAGGAATCAGTGGGAACCTCAGGAGGAGGGAGAGGAGAGTTTGTGTAGAGCTTTATTGAAGGTTTCCTTAGACAGAGAAAGTATCCCCCAAAGAGGCTGTGGTGCCAAGGGCCAAATGTGAGAGGTCCATAAAATCCTCTGATATTTCTTTTCTCTTAAAAAACTCACAATAACCACAACTTGGTCTGGAGAGGAAAAGAGAATCAATATGGTTTACTGCACAGGGTTTTGGTGGGAACGGAAGAGAATCACGTGTATCCCTTGCCTGTCAACCTTTGACAGATGAGAACCAGGACACATGGTCAAGTGACATCAGAGTGTGGTGAAGATCACAAAAGTTGCTCATTAGGGAGAAGAGATAAGCTAAGAGCAGCTGCAGGAGTTTGTTTTTGCTTGGGTTGTTAAGAAGGGCAAGATTCTGCTCCCTTCTCCTTCTGAGATAACCGAGACTGGATCTACACTGCCATATAATCAGGGGCGGCTCAACCATTACGCAAAGTAAGCATTTGCAGTATAGTTGATTTTGCCCAGGGGCGCTCTTGAGGTGCTCTTGGGGGAAAATAGACCTTGACATATGTGAGTTGTAGTTACTGGGATGTATAGTTCACCTACAATCAAAGAGCATTCTGAACTCCACCAATGATGGAATTGAACCAAATTGGGAGGGATAGCCAATACTCCAGAGGACAGGAGCAGAATTCAAAACGATCTTGACAGATTAGAGAGATGGGCCAAAACTAACAAAATGAAGTTCAACAGTGACAAATGCAAGATTCTCCACTTTGGCAGAAAAAATGAAATGCAAAGATACAGAATGGGTGACGCCTGGCTCGAAGCAGTATGTGTGAAAAAGATCTTGGAGTCCTCGTGGACAACAAGTTAAACATGAGCCAACAATGTGATGTGGCGGCAAAAAAACCAATGGGATTTTGGCCTGCATCAATAGGAGCATAGTGTCTAGATCTAGGGAAGTCATGCTCCCCATGCTCTATTCCACTTTGGTTAGACCACTTTACCTGGAATATTGTGTCCAATTCTGGGCACCACAATTCAAGAGAGATATTGACAAGCTGGAATGTGTCCAGAGGAGGGCGACTAAAATGATCAAGGTTCTGGAGAACAAGCCCTATGAGGAGCGGCTTAAGGAGCTGGGCATGTTTAGCCTGAAGAAGAGAAGGCTGAGAGGAGATATGATAGCCATGTATAAATATGTGAGAGGAAGCCACAGGGAGAAGGAGCAAGCTTGTTTTCTGCTTCCTTGGAGACTAGGACGCAATGGAACAATGGCTTCAAACTACCAGAGAGGAGATTCCATCTGAACATTAGGAAGAACTTCCTGACTGTGAGAGCCGTTCAGCAGTGGAACTCTCTGCCCCGGAGTGTGGTGGAGGCTCCTTCTTTGGAAGCTTTTAAGCAGAGGCTGGATGGCCATTTGTTAGGGGTGATTTGAATGCAATATTCCTGCTTCTTGGCAGGGGGTTGGACTGGATGGCCCATGAGGTCTCTTCCAACTCTTTGATTCTATGATTCTATGAACCAAATATGGTGTTGGAGGAAAGTGCTGAGAGTGCCTTGGACTGCGAGAAGATCCAACCAGTCCATCCTCCAGGAAATAAAGCCCGACTGCTCATTGGAGGGAAGGATACTAGAGACAAAGTTGAAGTACTTTGGCCACATCATGAGGAGACAGGAAAGCCTAGAGAAGACAATTATGCTGGGGAAAGTGGAAGGCAAAAGGAAGAGGGGCCGACCAAGGGCAAGATGGATGGATGGCATCCTTGAAGTGACTGGACTGACCTTGAAGGAGCTGGGGGTGGTGACGGCCGACAGGGAGCTCTGGCGTGGACTGGTCCATGGGGTCACGAAGAGTCGGAGACGACTGAACAACAATGGCACACAGAACTCCCACGACGAACAGAAAATATATATTCGTGCTTGGTTTGGGGGGGGGGGGGGCAGGCAAAATACTGTTTCCTTACAGTTGAAAACTGCCTAGGGCCGCCTCTGCATATAATGCAGTTTCCACCTGAATGTTGGGAAGAACTTCTTAACTGTGGGAGCTGTTCAGCGTTGGAACTCTCTGCCCCAGAGTGTGGTGGAGTCTCCTTCTTTGGAGGCTTCTAAACAGAGATCTGTTGGGGGTGCTTTGAATGCTTCTTGGCAGGGGGTTGAATTGGATGGCTCATGAGTAGGATTTTTTTTTTGTCATGTCACGACCGACTTGAGAAACTGCAAGTCGCTTCTGGTGTGAAAAATTGGCCGTCTGCAAGGACGTTGCCCAGGGGATGCCTGGATGTTTTTGATGTTTTTACCATCCTTGTGGGAGGCTTCTCTCATGTCCCAGCATGAGGAGCTGGAGCTGATAGTGGGAGCTCATCTGCGCTCTCCCTGGATTCGAACCTGCGACCTGCCAGCACAAGGGTTTAACCCACTACACCATCGGGGGCTCCTCCGAGTAGGCTATTCTTCCAAGATCAGTGTACTGGTGGGTCCATAGGTGACTGTGAAGCCCTAGTCTTGATCTGCATCTTCTCCCACAGTGTGAGCATTGGTTTCCAGGTGGAAGATGTTCCTGGTTGGGGTTGGCTTGACATGCCTTCCTCTTGGCACGTTTCTTTCGCCCTCCATTCGTACCTCTTCAAATTCTACAGCACTTCTGGTCACAGCTGACCTCCAGCTGTAGTGCTCAAGGGCCAGGGCTTCCCAGTTCTCAGTGCCTATGCCAGAGTTTTTAAGGTTGGCTTTGAGCCCATCTTTCAATCTCTTTTCCTGCTCACCAACATTTCATTTTCTGTTCTTGAGTTCGGAGTAGAGCAACTGCTTTGGGAGATGGTGGTTGGGCATCCGGACATGGCCGGTTCAGTAGAGTTGATAGTGGAGGACCATCGCTTCAATGCTGGTGGTCTTTGCTTCTTCCAGCACACTGACATTTGTCCGCTTGTCTTCCCAAGAGACTTGCAGGATTTTCCGGACGCAGCGCTGATGAAATCGTTCCAGGAGTTGTATGTGACGCCTGTAGACAGTCCACGTCTTGCAGGCGTATAGCAGGGTTGGGAGGACAATAGCTCTATAAACAAGCACCTTGGTCTCCCTACGGATGTCCCGATCCTCAAATACTCTCTGCTTCATTTGGAAAAAAGCTGTACTCGCAGACCTCAGGCAATGTTATATTTCAGTGTCAATGTTGACTCTGGTGGAGAGGTGACTGCCAAGGTAGTGGAAATGGTCAACATTTTCTAATATTACACCATTAAGCTGTATTTCTGGGATTGGAGAGGGATTAGCCAGTGGGGAGGGATTGGTCAGTGGGGGATCCTTTGTTTGATTTTTGAGCAACACTCAAAAAGCAAGTGAATTCCAGACAAGAATCAATCAGGGCCAGCTAACACCTCCCAACAAAGTATCTTTCAGGCAGCAATCAGAAAAGCTTTGAAGCTGCAACGTCATTAAATGCTAGTCAAGTGACCAGTTTCAACATTCCCACTTGCCTCAAATAGACAAGAGTTCTTTCTCCCACCCTAGACCTTCCACAGATAGACAAACCCCACTTGCCTAGTTTCCAGCACACCTCACAACCTCTGAGGATGCCTGCTATAGATGTGGATGAAACATCAGAAGAGAATGCTTCTTGAATATGGCCATACAGCCTAGAAACTCACAGCAACACATTGAATATGTTTAAAATGGATCAGAACTCCTTCAGGTATACAAATGAGAAAACTTTTTTTTACTTTGCCCACCCCCAAACGTACACCTAAGCAGAAAGACAATAATAAAAAGTGACAAAAATAATGTTAATTCCTATTTTATAAACGTTTAATACAAAATATTCCTAGGTCAGCTACTCAAGCGGCAACTACTACAGAATTGCAAAGCCCAGTGCATAAAACCTGGCAAAAGCTACAAAAAACACCTGTATGGAAATAACAGGTAACCCCCCAAGATCGACGATCAAGCAGAAGTAGGCCAAAGCCATCCAATCATAACAAATCCTCTTAATCTGCTTCAGGTCTGATGGTTGGACTCCTCTAGAGAAAGGCTTTGAAGATTGCCTTGTGTATGTAGACAACTCTAAGAGAGGAGATGATTCTGATAACTGCATTCTTGATTCAATTGAGTGTCTCCCAAATACGTTGAACAAGAGTTCCTATCTTTCCTGTCCAGGCATTGTGTGAGTTATAGTACTACCCATATGGGTGGAATCCCACCGGGAAAACATGTTACTATTCCAGGCATGTGTAAGTAAGATCCGTGTTTTATGCTACTCAGGACTTCCTGAAAATCAGAAGCTGGTGGGACTCCATGGCCTCCAACAGCATCTCCCCTTCCCTTTGTCTTACAGCTGACCCTCCTTTCAATGCTTACCCTGCTGTGATTGGGGCTGGCGTGGCCGGAATGATTGTCGCAACAATCACATCCCTTCTGGTTTTCCAGTACATCGTCCGCAACCGGGAGAACAACCCAAGTGAGTGGATGAATTGTTGCTGTGTGGTTTCCCCTTTCCCTAATCCAAGGAATCCTAAGAAATCCTCTGCAGGACTGGGTTGGTTACGCAGGGAGGGCAAATCTATATAAATAAAAATGTAATGTTCGTTTGTGGAACGAACTCAAAAACCACTAGACGAATTGACACCAAATTTGGACACAACACACCTCTCAGGTCAACGAGCAACCATCACTCATAAAAACACTGAAAAACACAACAGAAGGGACTTAAAAGGCCAAAACCCCCAAAAAAGACATTACAATGCATGTGCAAAACCACATATGTACACAAACACACATATATACACCCATACACAAATATACACACACAAAACAAATATACACAGACTGGGCCACAGCAACACGTGGCAGGGGACAGCTATTATCTATATAAATAAAAATATAATGTTTGTTTGTGGGATTAACAGAACTCAAAAACCAGTGGATGAATTGCCGCCAAATTTGGCCACAAGACACCTACTAACCCAAGGAGTGACCATCACTCAAAAATGATTTTGTCATTTGGGAGTTGTAGTTGCTGGGATTTATAGTTCACCTACAATCAAAGAGCATTCTGAACTCCACCAATGATGGAATCGAACCAAACTTGGCACACAGGACTCCCATGACCAACAGAAAATACTGGAAGGGTTTGATGGCATTGACCTTGAGTTTGGGACTTGTAGTTCATCTACACCCAGAGAGCACTGTGGACTCAAACAATGATGGATCTGGACCAAACTTGGTGTGGATATTCCATATGACCAAATATGAAGACAGATGGAGTTTGGTGAAAATAGACATTCACATTTGAGAGTTGTAGTTACTGGGATTTATAGTTCACCTACAATAAAAGAGCATTCTGAACTCCACCAACGATGGAATTGAACCAAACGTGGCAGAACTCCCATGACCAACAAAAAACACTGGAAGGGTTTGGTGGGCATTGACCTTGAGTTTGGGAGTTGTAGTTCACTTACATCCAGAGAGCACTGTGGACTCAAACAATGATGAATCTGGACCAAACTTGGCATGGATATTCCATATGACCAAATATGAAGACAGATGGAGTTTGGTGAAAATAGACATTCACATTTGAGAGTTGTAGTTACTGGGATTTATAGTTCACCTACAATAAAAGAGCATTCTGAACTCCATCCAATGATGGAATTGAACCAAACTTGGCACACAGAACCCCCATGACCAACAGAAAATACTTAAGGCCACCCAGTCCAACTCCCTTCACCAGGGCAAGAAAACATAATCAAAGCCCTCCTGACAAAGAGCCATACTGCCATAGATATAGGTAAAGGTAGTCCAGTCATGTCTGACTCTGGGGTGTGGTGCTCATCTCCATTTCTAAGCCGAAGAGCCAGCGTTGTCCGTAGACACCTCCAAGGTCATGTGGCTGGCATGACTGCATGGAGCGCATGACTGCATGGAGCTCAGCAGCTCAGTGCTTTAACCCACTGCGCCACCGGGGGCTCCTGCCATAGATATAAGTAGATATATATATGATTCACACACACAGAGAGATAGTATCATAGATTTGAAAGGGACCCCTAAAGGAGGACAATTCTATGTTGCATGTTCCAGAGTAGGCAAATCAGACAATCGCCACATCAACACTGACAAAGAAACAAAAAGAAATACTGTTTACCCACAAGCAGAAAGAAATTACATATTTTAGAAACTTTCTCATTACTCTATTTTTCCGATCACCAGACTGGGCCACAGCAATGCATGGCAGGGGATGGCTAGTAAATAAATATTCAAATAAGGGCTTTTGGAGCATCAGGTGCAAGGGTGAAGTGAAAATAGCACAGTTATCCATGGGTGTAGGGGTTCTTTGCTCCAATTGTGTTGCTATGGGTTTAGTCTTCTCTTGAAAGAACACGCCAAGACGCACAGAGACTGAAGATACCATACATCTTTATTGCTCAGAATACAATAATATAGCACTACTGCCCATCTATATAGGGCCTTAGCTACAATGTATTTTGGTGAGGTACTTAGAATTCTCCGTCCACCATGAGACAGGGCCATGGAGTTTAGTGGTTTTCATGTGCCACAACATGTAGTGTACTTATTTATTTACTTACTTAGGCGATCCCTCGTTGTCCGAGTAGGATAGTCTTCCAAGATCGGTGTACTGGCTGTGGGTCCATAGGTGACTGTGGAGCCCATTCTAATATCTGCATGTTCTCCCGCAGTGAGGGCATCAGTTTCCTGGTGGAATGCGGTCCTGGTCGGGGTTGGCTTGAAACGCCTTCCTCTTGGCACATTTCTCTCTTTCGCTCTCTATTCGTGCCTCTTCGAATTCTGCAGCACTGCTGGTCACAGCTGACCTCCATCTGGAGTGCTCAAGGGCCAGGGCTTCCCACATCTCACTGTCTATGCCAGTTTTAAAGGTTGGCTTTGAGCCCATCTTTACATCTCTTTCCCTGCCCACCAACATTCTGTTTTCCATTCTTGAGTTCAGAGTAGAGCAACTACTTTGGGAGATGGTGGTCGGGCATCCTGACAGTGTGGCCAGTCCCGTAGAGTTGATGGCGGAGGAGCATCGCTTCAATGCTGGGGGTCTTTACTTCTTCCAGCACGCTAACATTTGTCCGCTTGTCTTCCCTAGAGATTTGTAGGATTTTTTGGAGGCAACACTGATGGAATCGTTTTGAGAGTTGTATGTGACATCTGTAGATAGTCCACATCTCGCAGGCATATAGCAGGCTTGGGAGGACAATAGCTTTATAAACAAGCACCTGTAAGCACATATTTGCACTCTTACACATGTAGTGTAAGAGTGTAAATATGAGCCCTATTGCAGAAATCCTTCCTTGAACAATTTTGTGGAGTTTCATTTGACTTCTCTTGCAACATAATTCTTAAAATTGTATTATTTTTATCCTTATTCCACAGGGTTGCATGACCTCCTCTTCAGAATGTAAGTAGCATCCAAAGGCTGTCTTCTTTGCCGCTTCCTATCTCTTATTGGCCCTTGTTGGTAAATCCCAGGGTTTGGTCACTATCCATAAATTGTGGGCATTGAAAAAAAGGAAATGCTGCCATTTACATTATGCTTGGCCATGTAGAAGTTTGACCCAAGAATTAAAACACATACCACTTAGTAGAATGTGCAAAGTGTGTATTGTTGTTTATTCGTTCAGTCACTTCTGACTCTTCGTGACCTCATGAACCAGCCCACCCCAGAACTCCCTGTCAGCCATCACCACCCCCAGCTTCTTCAGGGTCGAGCCAGTCACTTCAAGGATGCTATCGATCCATCTTGCCCTCGGTCGGCCCCTCTTCCTTTTTCCTTCTATTTCCCCCAGTATCATTGTCTTCTCTAAGATTTCCTGTCCCCTCATTATGTGGCCAAAGTACTTCATCTTTGTTTCTAATATCCTTCCCTCCAATGAGAAGTCGGGCTTTATTTCCTGAAGTATGGACTTCAGTGTGTATTAGTATCTCTAAAATACTTCAGTGTGTATTCGAATCTCTAAAAAGAATCAGTGTTACAATCCTACGACACTGCGCACAGAAGACAAGAGACTTCCCATGATCTGTTGGAAACCATGGGGCAACTGCAGGGGACAATTTTCAGCTGAGCTGACACACAAAAATGAATCAGAAAATTGGCGAAGTCGGCGAAGTTTTGGAAATGAACATGCAAAAACCTCTAGTCCAGTGGTTCTCAACCTTCCTAATGCCGTGACCCCTTAGTACAGTTCCTCATGTTGTGGTGACCCCCAACCATAACATTATTTTAATTGCTACTTCATAACTGTAATTTTGCTACTGTTATGAATTGTAATGTAAATATCTGATATGCAGGATGTATTTTCATTCACTGGACCAAATTTGGCACAAATACCCGATACGCCCAAAATTGAATGGTGGGGGTGGGGGTGATTGATTTTGTCATTTGGTAATGCTGGAGTTGCTGGGATTTATAGTTCACCTTAAATCAAAGAGCCTTCTGAACTCCATCAATGACGGAATTGAATCAAACATGGCACACAGAATTCCCATGATCAAGAGAAAATACTGGGAAGGTCTGGGACATTGACCTTGAGTTTTTGGAATTGTAGTTCACCTATATCCAGACTGTGGACTCAAGCAATGATGGATCGGGACCAAACTTGGCACAAATACTCAATATGCCCAAATGTGAACACTGGTAGAGTTTGGAGAAAATAGTCCTTGCCATTTGGGAGTTGTAGTTGTTGGGATTTATAGTTCACCCACAATGAAATAGCATTCTGAACCCCACCAATGATAGAATTGGACCAAACTTTCCACACAGAACCCCCATGACCAACAGAAAATACTATGTTTTCTGATGGTCTTTGGCAACCCCTCTGACACCCCCTCGCGACCCCCACAGGGGTCCCGACCCCCAGGTTGAGAAACACTGCTCTAGTCACTGAGTGTGGCAGCACATGAGAGGTGAATAGACTTGAATACAGACACAATATATATGACTGATACCTCTCCAATATATTCCGACCCTTTAGGGCTGGTGCAGAAGCTCGTGAACACATCAGTACTCCAGAGGATGCTGAGACAGCGGTGGGGCCAGATGTTGAAGTCAGCGAGCAGGTTGGGGAGCCTTCCACTGCAGCATCTGGGGAAGCATCTGCAGGTGTGCCTAAATCATGCTTTACTTGGAAAGAAATAGTAACAGCGGTGGCATTTGTATACTCACTGAAATGTTAGCAGCACCAGATAATTGCACATGAAAAAAGAGAGTTTTATTCTGCCCTATGCCAATCCTTCTACACGAGATTCAAAGGTGAAATAAGGGACATGCTCTCATGTCTTTAGTGTCGGAGTAGAGGAGGGCACTTGAGCAGGTGACAAGCAGGACCTGCTGAAAATCCCTTTTCCACACAACTTTTCATCAAGTACTCTCATTTATTTCACCTGGAAACCCAGGTACATAAGAAGTCAGAACTGCACGAATAAATATATTTTCACTAAAATGGTACCAGATGAATATTGTTATGCAAGCTAGCAAAAGCAGATTAATGCAGGAGTCATGAAGTAGCCTTTGAGTAAGTTCTTGTGGGTTTTTTCGGGCTATATGGCCATGTTCTAGAGGCATTTCTCCTGATGTTTCACCTGCATCTATCGCAAGCATCCTCAGAGGTGAGGTCTGTTGGAACTGGGAAAAGACCTCACCTCTGAGGATGCTTGCCATAGATGCAGGCGAAACGTCAGGAGAAATGCCTCTAGAACATGGCCATATAGCCTGAAAAAACCCACAAGAACTTAGTGATTCCAGCCATGAAAGCCTTCGACAATACATTAGCCTTTGAGTATTTTTTCTTGTCTTTCTACAGAGCTTAGTTCAGAGGACACTACCGGAGGCCCAGAGGATCCTGCAGCAGCCCCAACTCGAGAACCCACGGCTGTTGATGATCCAGTTAATGTTACAATCACAGTAACAGCAACTCCGTGACTGCTGGGAAATCTGATTTCATGGGCGTCAGTTCAGGATAACTTATGGAGTGCTTTTTTTCAGCACCAGGGAAGGATAGTGATATGGGAAGAAACTGTAGGGCTCATGAGGATGTCCATCTGGGCCTTGAACTGGGCAAGAACTGTCCTCTCACTTGTCCTGTTGTTTCTACATCTTGGGGAAGGAGCGGAAGGGGCAGATGGTAATCTCAGAACATAGATCTCCCACAGTGTGGTTGGCAATGAACAAACTGCTTTTCTGTAGACCTTCGAGTGATTCTTTTTTGGGTCAACATCTGGGAGCCGCCTTCAAGAAGGCACTTTAGCTTTCACATGACTTCAGAAAATGCTGAGAGATTTCAGGTGGGACATACCACATTATCCAATTGAGCTGATGGTTTGGGATACTAAGTGGGTTTGGAGAAGGTTGTTGCTAATGCTTGGTTTCACTGATGCTGCTGTTAAACAGTTTGCTCCACAGACAGTATATGTGTTTATCTTTATTTTAATTAATAGTTGCAAAATTAGTGAGAAGTACTTGGAAGAATAAGAAAACGGGTGGTCTTGAGCTTGAATTAAGTGATTCTTGAGTAATTCCTCACTTTGGAACCAATGCAGTTATGTCTAGCTTTATAATGTAGTGATTTTTGGTATGCCAATGCTAAGAGAATAGAGAAAAAGAGTGCAGTAATCAGAAGAATGGACTGAAAGGTTTGCACAGTTCACCATTGTTCAAAGGAATGAGAAAGGGGCAAATGGGCACATATGCTAACAGACGTGCTGACTCCATCAGATTAATCTCCCCCTTCACCTTCATCCAGTCTCAGGACATCAAATGTCAACAGCTACTTTACTACAGGATGCATTCCTTTCATTGTCTCCTAAGGAGAAACACTATGGGAACCGACAGGCTCTTGAGCATCCATCCTGCCTCATCTGCTGTGGAATCTGCACATTGTCTTCTCTTGTTGCCATGTTGTCTAGGCCAATGAAACAATGGTCCTAAGCAACTGGGACAATGGATCTCATCTGCAAATAAGAGCCAGGCTAAGACTCAGTGAGATTCTGCTCACCAGCTGGGCTAATGAATCGGTGGGAAATTGACTCCATTCGCCAAACAGGCCACTGTCCCCAACCCAGTTACTTTTTAGTAGACAATAGTTTCCGTAGCAAACCTCCTGCCCAAACAAGCTATATATACACAAACCACTATATCCAATCAAAGTAAATTCTGCACCTGAACTTTTAAAAAAAACAACGCCTTGGTATTCTGCATCCTTGCAATGAGAAAAGCAACACACAATTTCTTTCAACTATGTTTTACAGGTCGCCCTGGCCAGAGCATACAAGCAATGACTTTCAGTTAACTCAATTACCTTTTGGAAGGTGTGTTTTGCTTTTTGTCATTGTTAACATGTATCTCTGGTTGTACATACCTTCAACGTAACTCCCAACCTATACAGTTCTTAGAGCTTTATAAAAATAGGAAAGCAATACTCAGAAGTGATTTTGCCACTTCCTTCTAACACATTTACAGTAGAGCCTTGCTTATCCAAAATAAACTGGCCGGCAGAACGTTGGATAAGGCGAGATTAAGAAAAAGCCTATTAAACGTCAAATTACGTTATGATTTTACAAATTAAGCACCAAAACATCATGTTTTACACCAAATCAACAGGAAAAGCATTTCAATACATGGTAATGTTGTGTAATAAATACTGTATTTATGAATTTAGCACCGAAACATTGGAATGTATTGAAACAGCGGCGGATCTGGGTGGGAGGCAGACTGCGTTGGATAATGTAGAACAGGGGTCCTCAAACTTTTTAAATAGAGGGCCAGGTCACAATCCCTCAAACTGTTGGGAGGGCCGGATTTGAAAAAAAAATGAATGAATTCCTATGCACACTGCACATATCTTATTAGTAGTTCAAAAAACACTTAAAAACAATACAATAATTAAAACGAAGAACAATTTTAACAAATATAAACTTATTAGTATTTCAATGGGAAGTGTGGGCCTGCTTTTGGCTAATGAGATAGGATTGTTGTTGTTGTTCTATGCTTTCAAGTCGCTTCAGACTTAGGTTGACCCTGAGTGAGGGCCGGGTAAATGACCTTGGAGGGCCGTATCCAGCCCCCGGGCCATAGTTTGAGGACCCCTGATATAGAACATTGGATGAGCAAAGGTTAGATAAACGAGACTCTACTGTATTTCAAAACTTCAAAACTTTCTTTTCACTGTTTTGTAAGGACAAACCAGATTTAAGATGCATTACCACTAGTAATCATTACAACTGACATTAAACACAAGCAGCACGTTCTCTTTAATATTAAAAACAAGAATAATCCTGCCCCAAAAAACATCATTTAAACATATGTACAAATGTAAAACAGACTATTACAACTGTGGAAGGAAAAAAATATAGTGTATTTTTCTATATGATAAAAAGACATGCATCTTTAAATGGTTTATTTGCAAATCAATGTACAAAATATATGAACACATGTTGCTCAGACAGCAATACGTTTATTCAGTCAAAGTAACTTTTCAAAGAGTGGAGGTGGAGGAGACCTTGAGACCGAAGACCAATGATTGCAGGGTTGCCTAATTAGAAAAGTAGTTCAAGAAATGAAATTTCTTTTATTAACTCAAGAGGATGCTGGTACTGGCATCATACAAGCGCACAGATGTCAACAGGACATACTTGCATATAAAATGCCAAGTATGAGAATTAAGAGAAATGTTGGTGGAGCCAAACAACAAGTTGCAACGATGCATATGACATGATTAACTATTGTATAATTCTGTCAGTACAACTCATTTTTAAGTTGACGAAAGCACAGATGAGTCAAAGGTGTGAGCAAAAAGGGGGAAGTGCTATAGTTAAGTGTTTGGGCTTTTTGTTTGCTTGCCTTAGTTGCATGCTGTTAACATTATTTATAATTCCTTCTTATGCAAACACATGCTAAATCTGAAATAATTGATGAGATAAAGCAGATCTTACTTTGCCATTGTATTCTATGCTGACAGTGGACTTTGCACAGAAGAAATCGAAGACACAGCTGTGTTAGTCTAAACTAGGCATGGGCAAATTTCGGCCCTCCTGATGTTTTGGACTTCAACTTCTACAATTCCTAACACCCAGGGTGTTAGGAATTGTGGGAGTTGAAGTCCAAAACACCCAGAGGGCCTAAATTTGCCCATACCTGGTCTAAATTAACAATATGCAAAAGGATCTTGCAGCACTTTGGAGAATAACTGAAAAAACAAACTTGGTAGCCTAAAATTTCATAGATTGTTTACTTGCATCTGAGGAAGTAAACCAAGACCCCCTTCTACGCTAACTGATAATTCAGGGCTGATCTGACATCCTGGACACTGTATTGGGCTGACATGGCAGCTAGATAGGGACTCCCTGAACTGGGAGTAGGAAGTCCCAGCTGCACCAAACATGGTTTGGTGTATCTGGACAGCCACAACACCCCTCTATCCTGGTCATCAAAGCTCTGGTCAACCACAGCCAGAGCACCCAAAAGATTGATGGCTTGTTGCAGCTGGTAATAGCCATGACACGTGGAGGGTGGGGAGAAAGGGAACTGCTATCCTAGGCCACCTGAGCTGTCATTTCCAGTTAGGAACTGAATCAGCTGTCTTGACATCCTTTAAGTTGGGGGTAAACCCAAATCTTGGTTCTGGATTCAGACTTTCCCGAGGCAGTATTAAGGGTAAGGTTAAACTGGATCTGCCCTGTGAGGATTTAGCTACTACAGGGCTGATCCAAAGACATACCAACCAACGGTCAGTGTAGATGTGTAGAACACGTTCAAAGAAGGGTGACCAAAATGATCAAATGTTTGGAAGCCAAGCCCTACAAGGATATTTAGCTTGGATAAAAGAAGGCTGAGAGAAGCTATGACAGCCATGTTTAAATATTTGAAAGGCTGTCACATTGAGGAGGGGGCAAGTTTGTTCTCTGCTGCTTTGGAGACAAGGACACAGAGCAATGGATTCAAATTGCAAGAAAAGAGATCCCACCTCAACATTAGGAAGAACCTCCTGATGGTCAGAGCTGTTTAGGAATTGGGTATGGTGCCTCAAACATGGTGGAGTCTCATTCTCCAGAGGTTTTTAAACAGAGGCTGGATAGACATATATCAAGGGTGCTTGGATTGTGTGTTCCTGCACAGAATAAGGGGTTGGACTGGATGGCCCTTGGGGTCCCTTCCAGCTCTATGATTCTAAGTCTTGAGAAGCTATATCCTCTCAGTCTCTAAGGTGCTACAAGACCATTTGCATGCTTTGCACAAGAGAAACATCCAAAGGAAAAAAAATTAAATGAAATATAATAATGAACATACAATGAGAATGGAACAATGAACTTCGCATTGAACTGGCTCCAAAGCTGTGGTAAACATTAGGAAGATGGAATTATAATGCCTTGTTTAATGAAAGTACTCTCAGGTTCTTCAAAAAGCCCATAAAATTGTGTTTCATGAATTTTTGAAAAATTTTGACAACAGAACTGGTACAATAGTAAAGAACATTCTTCTAGTTTCCAAGACATATGAGCACTTGTCAGAAATTGTGGGTGGAATGTGAGGACGCACTCGTGCTTGACCAAACTATTTTATCAGTAAGCTTTCCAAGATTCATATACACCAATGTTTGGATAGAAAACACAAAATATTTCTATAACATGAAGCCAATATATAACATTTATAAATAAAATACAATAAAAGTGAAAACACTTAAAACAGTGTCACACAATATAAATAAAACAGGCCTTGATGAGATTCTGCTACTGTGACAGAGCAGAGATTCTTTCAGCCTCCAAACAAGAACTTCAATTCAAAGTCCAAAAGAATCCAGATACCTGCCAAGGCTCTTCTGAAACAAGGTACAGTTGGCCCTCCACATTTGTGGATTTGAATTTTGCAGATTTGATTAGTCACAGATTTTTTTTAGTATGTTAATTATAGGAGTCACTAAATCCTTCGACACAACACTATAGTCGACTTCCACCAGGTTAAAAACAGTGTCGGTTTGGGTTGTTGTTGTTTTATTTAAATACAGTGTCGTTTTATTTAAAAACATTCACCTTTCCCCGATTTTCCCTAACTCCAGCGAATGACTAATGTGTGATGCTAATATCACTTGAATTCCAAATCAAAACATTTTGATATTCTTGCTTTCTGTAGAGGAATCTATTTTAATTCCAAATTAGTCAAGTTAATTTGCAGGGATATGTCTCTTTTGGGTAAATGAAAAGGAGCTTCTTTGAAGTCTAAAGCCATTCCCAACTTAATTGGAGGAAAGACCAACTTGCTATCAGAAAAAGTGTCCTTGCATAGTAATCCAGATTAACACAGCACATTCTCAATAGGAAGCCTTGTTTATAAAACTATATCATATACATCACATCATATATTATATAAAATAATCACACACTATATACATACACAGCTTTTGACATTTGCTGCAACAGTTATAAAAATACAAACCTATTTAAATCTCTCTCGCACACATTCTCACACGCAAACACATATTTACTCAAGTGAACCGCACTTGTGGGGCATCTCTTCCTTTTTGCTGGAAGAAGCTTTCAATTTTCACTGGGACACCTTTGCCCTTTTCTTTACTCTTCCACCTCTTTCCCAAGGCAGGTGGTTGATTCCTGAATTCAAACTGCAGTGAGGCAACTGTACAATTGAAATAATGTGCCTCTGATTATTGGAAAAGTTTTACAAATGTTGTTCTCCTTATAATATATTCAGTTTGGAGTAAGGAAGGCTGAGGGGGGACTTGAAAGCCATGTTTAAATATTTGAAATGCTGTCACATTGAGGAGACGGCAAGCTTGTTCTCTGCTGCTCGGGAAACTCTGACACAATGGAGTAATGGCTTCAAATGGCAGGAAATGAGATTCCACCTAAACATGACAAAGACCCTCCTGATTGTACTAGCTGTTTGGCAGTGGAATATTCTGCCTCAGAGGGTGGTGAAGTCTCTGGAGGTTGTATGACCATCTGTCAGGAATGCTTGATTGTATTTCCCTACATGGCATGCAGTTGGACTGGATGGCCCTTGGGGTGTCTCCCAACTCTAGGATTCTATTATTCTATAATTGAGAAATGATGGAAATATGCAGCTAGCACTGTGACACCACTGTTTCTGAGGTACAGGCAGATTTCTTCAAGATGCACCTAGTACATACCTTAGTACCAAGTTTGATATCACACTGTAATAGCAGAGGACAGTGTTGGAAAAAGCAACGGAGCACGGATGTTCTGCAACACCTCTTATCCAAGCACACCTGCTTTGGTCCCTATATTCCAAGTTCCATGTTGTACTAAAATACAAACTCACAAACTTTGAAAGGTCCAAGAAAAAGGATTTGCCTTTTAAGGTTATACCTAACATAAAGGAATGCCAGCATATTTCATCAGAGGCCTCAGTTTCTAAAGTTGATTGTGCCACGCTCTAGTTTAGTGACAAAACAGGCAAGATACAACAGAGTTTCTCAACCAACTTGTGTCAAACAGATAACGCAGTACCACCTTTAAAATAGTATACTGCATCTATGCACACACTTATCTAATCCTAGTAATAGACACTAGGGAGGAGGAGCCCTTTCCAATCCAGCACCATTTTGGCAGCTTTCTTCTCTCAGAAGCAAACTATCCTTTCCATAACGTTTTTTGCATAGCACCTTGCCATGTCATTAAAAAAACCGTATGTCAAATGACTACTATTATGTTAATAGAACAGCAGGAGATAAAAACAAATGGCAGCAAGGGGCATCGGTACCGAATAGCCATGGCCAAGGTATCTATGGTTCTCCCACTGATTCTTGCTCCAGTAATATTATGTTGCCCATTTTGTGCTTCCATTTGCAGTGGAGTAATCCTGTTTATACAGGGTGAGGCAGCATAACTTCCCTTTTTCAAAACTTAATAAAACCTATTGTATGAATCAGAACCTTTTTTATAATGTAGGAGCATACCTAAAGTTTTGTTTTACGTAGTTTTGAAGATCAAATTAGGTAGGTGACGTCCCCCATTCTCCATACACTGAGTAAACCGATTTCTGGTGTTTGTCATGACTCTTGCCAGCATAGCAGGCGTTATGTTGGCAATTTCTTCCTGGATGTTGGTCTTCAAATCTTGTAGGGTCCTTGGACGGTTCACAGAAACATGGGATTTAAAAAAAAATCCATAGAAAAAAATCACACGGGGCCAGGCCACTCCAAATCCGCTCGCAAAGTAGGCCTCAACGGCAAAAGCACACTCCTAACTGTTCCAACGCATGATGGCGACTGAACCGTGTCAGGACAAAACTTTATACTCCTGCCTCTCGAACGAGACCACTAGCGCTCCGCTACGTCTTCAACCGACTGAATGGCGTACATTTTAAAAAAGCAAGTTATGCTGCCTCACCCTGTATTTTCCCAAAATGGTAATTTATAATAATCAGAGCAAATTGGGTGTAAATGGTTCAAATAAGCAGATTCGCTTAATTTTCCAACTACATGGTAACATCATTTTTCTATGGAAAAATGTGTGTTTCCTGTGCTTATTACATACCTTCAGATAGCCATAATGATTTTACCATGGGGACGTAAGTAGGAATTTTTCAAGGCATAAATAATACAAAGGCTTTTAAAAACATACATTCATAGGACACTATTATCAAAAAAATAAATAGCAATTCTTATAATTAACATCCTGTTGTCAGTCTGGTTCAGTGACTTCACTGCACAGTTACTGGCTTTCAGTGGGCAACATCCGTCGGGTCCTTAAGTCTCATGTATTTGAAGCTCCTGGAGGTTCCCCAAATTGTCCAACGAAACCCCCTTTGAAATCCCTTCTGTCTGTTCATTGCAGTCTTTAGAAAGAGATTGCAGAATAAAAGGGCTCCAGTTCAACATGTGAGTGGAGGTTTCCAATTGTGCGCTGTTATCTGAAAATCAAAACGCAACTATTAGCATCCACTTAGGTATTACTTTTACAATTCCAGTGATCACCCATACGCCAAAAGGTTTTAGACGAGCCCTGACTAGCTGACATTTGCTGAATCAACGCCTCTTCCATTCTCCCTGCCATTTCCTAATCAGCAAGACAGATTCATATTAGTTGTTGAAATATAAGGTCGCAGCCAAAGCTGGGTCCTGGCAGAGATTTAAACAAATTAGCACTGAAAATAGAATAAATCAGTCATCACAGCGTAATCTCAGGAGAGTGCTAAATGGAATTATTTTTTTTTAAAAACTCATTTTTTGTAAAAAGCCCCAAAGGCACTGAAATGTACACGATTGAAGTCTAATTTTGATCTGCATGGAGTTAGGTTAAGCCATTCCTAGTTGTAAGCAAACAGTAGATCACAAGGAGCCCCCAGTGGCGCAGTGGGTTAAACCCTTGTGCCAGCAGGACTGAAGACCGACAGGTCACAGGTTCGAATCTGGGGAGAGGCGGATGAGCTCCCTCTATTAGCTCCAGCTCCTCATGCGGGGACATGAGAGAAGCCTCCCACAAGGATGATAAAAACATCAAAATCATCCAGGCGTCCCCTGGGCAACGTCCTTGCAGACGGCCAATTCTCTCACACCAGAAGCGACTTGCAGTTTCTCAATTCGCTCCTGACACGACAAAAAAAAAAAAAAAAAGGCCACAGCCAACTATATTCTCCCGGTTTCCCAAACCCTTTGCATACCATCTCTACAGTCTGTACTGAGTAGATTCACATTTTCTTGGCAACAAGAATCCTGAGGAGATGGGGGCTCCCTTTTCTCTTTGTCTTCTTCTGCCTCAGCATTGCATTCAGGGACTGTGGGCGCTAAGCTCATGGCAGCCATGGTGGGATTCAATGGTTTCATTTCCAAACTGTCCTGCTGATAAGGTGCTACAATAGGCATCACAGGTACAGCGTTGCTGCCAAAAGTGCCGCTGTTTTTTGTGAAACACCTACAAAAAGAGAAAGCGAGAAACTGAATTTGATACACAAGTGATGTTTTGTTAACTAGTTATGCATTTGTACTATTTTTAAAAAAATCATTGCTTGTTGAATGCTGCGTGCTGTATGTTTTCCAATGGGGTTACCTTAGGAAATACAGTAAATGAGTCTCAATGTAAATCTGCTTTCTGAATTGATGTTAAAGGATTGTCAATGGATAAGATTACATACAATCTTGAATTCTTCACCACTGAAAACTAGAAAACGGGAACACAGTCCTTGACTTTTACTTGTAATAATCCTTAGCCATTCTCATTCTGGATTGTAAAAGGCCAGTGAAGCAGGGAAGGAAGTCAGTTCCTTATAGCTGAAGCTACTTAGTGTTTGAACAACAAAAAAGCAGCTTACAGCTAAAATCCTTTGTAGACATGCTGAGCACTAATCCAAAGTGTTGGGGAGTTGCCAGTGCTATAAATGTTTGCAGCTGGAGGACTAGCTTCCTAGGACACTAAGGCAGTTAGCAACACGATTTTTCAACATTCATGGTAAGTGTTAACAATTAGCATCATTATTATTAATAATGTTGTTTTTATTATAATTAATAATGATTCATAATAAAAACAATCTTAAATACAAATTATTATTTATAATCAAAACAAAACATCTTTTGGACAAGATATCTGAACTAAAAGTCTGTAACCAAAAGCACATATACAATAGAGAATATGCCCTGTGAACTGTGGTAAAAAAATAATGACAGTAAATATGACCCAAAAGCATATAGACTATTTACGATATGGCTATTAAACTATGATATATAATAATGCTGAAGTAGCAGAAATCTTCTCTTATTTTGACACCTCATTCCAGCATCTTGTTTAATATATATGTAACAGTTTAATTTCTACAGAAGTGGTGGTAAAGTTGATTGAAGATGTAGTTTACAGTAAGAGTTTGCAGACGACACCAAATTGGGAGGGATACCAATACTCCAGAAGACAGGAGCAGGATTCAAAATGATCTTGACAGATTAGAGAGATGGACCAAAACTAACAAAATGAAGTTCAACAGTGACAAATGCAAGATACTCCACTTTGGCAGGAAAAACGAAATGCAAAGATACAGAATGGAGGACAAGTGAGAAAGATCTTGGAGTCCTCGTGGACAACAAGTTAAACATGAGCCAACAATGTGATGTGGCGGCAAAAAAAGCCAATGGGATTTTGGCCTGCATCAATAGGAGCATAGTATCTAGATCTAGGGAAGTAATGCTACCCCCTTTGGTTAGACCACACCTGGGATATTGTGTCCAATTCTGGGCACCACAATTGAAGAGAGGTATTGACAGGCTGGAATGTGTCCAAAGGAGAGTGACTAAAATGATCAAGGGTCTGGAGAACAAGCCCTATGAGGAGCGGCTTAAGGAGCTGGGCATGTTTAGCCTGAAGAAGAGAAGGCTGAGAGGAGATATGATAGCCATGTATAAATATGGGAGAGGAAGCCACAAGGAGGAGGGAGCAAGCTTGTTTTCTGCTTCCTTGGAGACTAGGACGCGGAACAATGGCTTCAAACTACAAGAAAGGAGATTCCATCTGAACATGAGGAAGAACTTCCTGACTGTGAGAGCTGTTCAGCAGTGGAACTCTCTGCCCCGGAGTGTGGTGGAGGCTCCTTCTTTGGAAGCTTTTAAACAGAGGCTGGATGGCCATCTGTCAGGGGTGATTTGAATGCAATATTCCTGCTTCTTGGTAGGGGGTTGGACTGGATGGCCCATGAGGTCTCTTCCAACTCTTTGATTCTATGATTCTATAAGAGCTGCAACTGGAAGAAGGCAAAGGACTCCACCAACAACAAAGCCTGGACTGGATGTCTCTTGTGGTCTCTTCTACCTCTATTGATGCTATTAGTTCACATAACTAACATACAGCACTGTCTTTACATTTTGGTTATTGCCAATGGCTGCAAAATACATCCTGAAGCTTTACAACATTTAGAGAACTGCAGTTTATTCCAAAGAACTTTCTTTAGACATAAAAGAGGCATTATGATTGGACATACTTAAAAATAGTGTCAACAACATACCGGGCATTTTACAAAAGCAGTCAAATAAGTATTTTTGAAAAAAATCTCCCTGCTTCAACAACATTATCTAAATGATGTTTGCTGGGAAGACATGGTAGAAAGGGGACGAACAGAAGAGGGAAAGCTTAAAAGTGAGTAATATGAACAGGTTAATTAATTAATACATAGCTGTTATTATGCATGGCAATGAGAACTAAGGACCTCTTCACATGGGGCATTTTTGCCCAATTTAGCCACACTTTCTTCCCGTTTTTACCATGATGGCAGAAAGGATGGCAGGGCAACATGAGTTGCTGCACGTCACCACCCTTTTTGCCATCTGATGGGGGAGGGAAAGGGTGCCATCATGTGAGGTGAGGGAGGTGGGAGGGCGTGCAGAGTGCCCCGAGCCGCCCCGTGTGCCTTCCCTTTTGCCAACAATTGTATGTGCCATGTGAAGAGGTCCTAGGAGATTGTACAACAACAGGATGAACATGAGAGGCCTGAGGAATGTAAGCTGAGAAAGAAAAAAATCTGAATTTGTGTACACAAACAGTACATGCATAGAGGCAACCACTTCAGCTTGGAAAGTTTTTCTTCATAAAACATCCCAGATTAAAATGCCCTCTCCTTTATATTCTACCTTAGGGGGTGTTTAACCTTAAAAAAAAAAGTTTGAGACCTTTAGCGTATCATATTTTTATTGCATTGGAATAATTATTGCATAATAACTGTGTACACAATAAAAGAGTATATAAGTATCAAACATCAGAACTTCTGGACTGGAACAAAAGACTCAGAAGGAATATTGCTTTTTCTCTGTCACTTTGCCTCTCTGCTTATTTAAAAGAGATTACTTGGCTGCTTGATGGATGGACCCAACAAAATAAAAACTCAGCATCATGTTCTATTACTGCTTCTTAGACAAGACAATAGTCAGGATCTGACCGAAGAGATATGCCAATCACTATTTGCTCTACTCTACTCATGGAATGTCTGTCACTATGACACAATTATTAACCTTTCCAGTCTCGCCAGGAAGGTCCAAATCCACAACTCTTGACTCTACACATTAAACCTCCTATACTCTCCCCTCCTTTATTTATAAAATAAATGAGTATTCAATTTTAATCTATCATAGACCTTTTAACTTAAGGACTGTCATTTACAAGTGGACCCCAAATAAAGTTACAAAGCAGAAGCTACTACCAACCAATTTACATAGGGAGGTCATTTCATCCCTGTCTAACTCTGAAGAAGAAAGAACTGGGAAGTTAACAAGTGCAGTAGAATATGAAGTGCAAAGAATATAGAGGCAAAGAAAAAATGCTCCCTGTGGCTACAACAAACAGCAGACATCCTGCTTCACATTTTAAAACAGAATAACAAGATCTGCAAAACATTTTTCAAACCAGGGTGGAACTACAAGCTCAAAGTATGTTTTGCTTCCCTTCCAACTTGAATCTACAATGAGTGGTGCAATGCTGCGGGCTACTAATTAGCATTTATTCTGTGTCTCTAAAGCACTCAACAGACTAAATTTTTGAATGACTCTGAATACAGGCAACTACAGGCACAGGTTGTGCAATTCTGTGACTGCCATTACATGAGTGTTCAGCACCAAAAGGGCTAGGAGGGATGCACTGCACAAACGGTTGCACTGGGTTCTACAACACAACAGTGTAGTTCACAAGCTGCGCTTAAGCTCATAGCAAAGGAATTAAATATGGCTCAGGACTAAGCCATTTAATTTCTGTTTTATACGAACAAGGAACAAGTTTGCTACATTATGCCACAAAAACACCTCACTGGGTTTGAGTATTTTTCCTTTACTGCAAGAACCACTAAGCTAAAAATATATATCTAACACAAGTGGTGCATTTCATAACCTGAAAGTAAGACTATTACTTCAGGTTTATTTTACATAGTGTGAATAGTAATATGTTATTATTAATGTGCAAACAGTTTATTTGGTCTAAGTTCCCAAAAAGGTCAGCGGTGTGTAAAATATGTCCAAATTAGCTCTAGCACTCATCTGGGGGCAAGCTTTTTGATTCTGAAGAAGTAGCACCAGATGCTATCATAGTGAGCTATATAATGAAAATATTTTTTTTAAATGTGAACAAGTTAATAAACCAAGTGGGACTTCATATACCAGAAGCACATGCAACAAATTTATAAATTTGGAATAGCATTTATATCAGCAAAAACATTGCAAATGCAACTAAATATAACTTTCTCTCACTGTTATTACTCCAAAGGTTACCTGTTATTGTTTCGGCAGTTCCGGCAATTGGCACACTCTGAAGGATCTGTCTGAGGTACCGCTGTGAATATTTCACTGCCCTGGAAGAAGAATTTTTATCAAAATCAGCATTAAGGATTCCTTATGAGACAACTAGACAACCAGAGGCCCCAGTTTATCTGAAAGGCAGAGAATACACTACTCCAAGATGTTCTGCTTCACAAAGCAAAATGTCAGTGCTAAAGAAAAGCAACCAGCGACAGCATAGCAATTTATCTAGTCCTATTTTTGGCCTGAAATGCCTGGGTATAATTTAAGAAAGATGAAAATGCTCAAAATACAGATAAATGAGACCTGCAAGTAAGCATCTTTTCACTTGTATCTGATGAGAGTTTCACTGCTTCATTTTCCTGCTGTGACTTTGATTATATCAGATTGACTTCACTAAACTATATTCAAAAATCATCTATATTTGCACAGATGCCATAACTCATCTGCCAAAACTGACTTTGAGCTGTTGGTCTTGGCTGAATCATCCTTTGCAAATATAACTTCTCAGATTAGCATATACCTCACTGCTGAATACGAGGTAGATGCATATTTGAAGAACATTTGAAAATCTGTGTTTTAATTAACCAGACCAAGAATGTGAAAGACAGTTTTATATCCAAATCTAAAATCACAACTAATGCTGATCCTATTAATTTTTTGCCTTTCCCACACCAATTGACTTTGAAAATGTAGGTCTCTGAAGGGACTCTAATGAAAAGTACTACGCATGCACACAAAATATGAACTCCACATTATTATGTTGTCTTCATGAACAGCTATAAGATAAAAGAGACAAATTAGGAGCTTATGGGTAGATTCTCAAATTATATTTTGGTATGGGAGACAGCCAAGAAAATGCACATGGCTTTCATTAATTTTGAAGAATGTGTGTCTCTCAAGTTTAAGCACACACTCCTCCTTTAAAATGGCCAGAAGAACAGAAGACTTAAGCATTGGAGCATTTTAAAGAAATGTGTACTGAACTACATGTGAACGTCAGACTTGATTAACATACAAAGAAAGCAATACTTTAAATCACTTTAACTTTATGAACAATAAGTTAGCCGTCTACAACAGAACATGCAATGCTTCCAGACACAAAAGCTTAATTAGAGATCATTCATTATGAACTTCAGGGTTCCAGCTTATTCAATTTATTTATTCAAAATATGGGATAGATTTAAACATGAATATTCACCCACTACAGCAATAGTTACTAACCTTTTTTTGACCAGGGACCCATCTCCAACATTAGTACCAAAAGGGTTACAAATCAGTTTTTGGTCAACTTTAGATTTGGTTTTTATCTGGGGTGCTGATTCAGAAAATTGCATTGGATAGACCACATGAGCTCTAGTTTCTGATACAGAAAATATGCCACCAAGCATTTGCCATCTGCTCATCCACAAAAAACCATATTTAATAAGCCTCAGCACTATAAGGTTTAACAAGACCAGTCATTCTAGTTGAAACGGTGTGGTATTGGTGAGGACACAGACCATATTTTAGTTCTTGAGGACCCACTGGTGGTCCATGGACCACAGGTTAGGAACCCCTGCACTAGAGTGGCATTTATCCATCAGTTTATAACACCAATATAGAAAATAAAGTAAAAACAAACATCAGAAACAAGCAAACACAGTGCTTTCAAATGGAATCTTAATGTGAATGTATTAGCCTTGAAAACCTTAGAAGTGTTCTTAAAACTATGGCAACTGAAACAGAAGGTATGCATCTGGATTTGTTTGGTTAGGATCTCTTGAAAATACCAAGGCTTACAAAGTACTTGTGCTGTGAATTAAACAATAGGTTTTTTAAAAAATGTGAAAGTTGCAAACCCTAAAGGTCTAGTTTTACAAAGATTGGTGGAGGATACATTTTACCAATGAATCCATGTATTTATAGAATAATAGAGTTGGAAGACACCACCAGGAGCATCCAATCCAACCATGTTCAAAACACAAAATTACTAAATCAACTGTAATGTCTACATTGAGATCGCACGAGGGCCCCAAATATTCAATTTATGGAAGTATTAAAATACAGATGATTCCAGAAACCAGTTTCATACATTGTTAGAATACAAAGCACGCCTTTGCAGTTTTGTTATGTAGAGCACTTATTCAGATGCTGAAGGAGCAACCTATGAAATGTAAAATTCACTTACATTTTCTAGGTGATGGGTGTGTTCATATTCCATGTGCGATCTGGATAAGGAGTTTGTGTGTCCAGGATAAACACCATTTCCTCCATTCACAACACCATTCATGATCCCATTCATTCCATTAGGACTCTTGTGATGGAGGTGAAGGCAACCATTACTGTGGTTTCCATTACTAATAAAGTTCCCATGTATGCTGCCATTGATACGACTTGTGCCTGGCAACGTAGTATATTCAACCATTTGCCCATTGATGTCAGCACTTTGGTAGAGATAACCAGGAGGGTCGTATTCTGTAACAGCAAGAAAACATGCTTAACAATTACAATTAATTTTGAAACATGTAAAAAACAATCTGAAAAGTTGCAGATGGAAAGCCTTGGTTTGGCAGTGCAAACCATGTTATTGTTTGAACAATATGAAACTACTGTTAAAACAGCTGGCTGACACCGATTATGTAGTCCTGTAATTTGGTGACTGTAAAATAATTATAGTATAAAGAACAGGATTTGGATAATACCAAGCAAGATTATAACTTTGTGAAAATGTAATATAGCTAAAGATAAGGTAGAAACAGGATTGATCTCTCTCTCCTAGACATATATTTTAAAGCAGATGTTAATAAAGTTTTCCATTAGCTACACTCATCACCAGTCTTTTGAAAGAGAAAGTCTGACATGTCAGAAATGGAAAACAAAGGCAGATTTGTCAGGCTCTAACCATTTCATTTGCTTCCCGCACTGCATCGTTACGTTTATTCAGTGGTGCTTTAACAATGACTGAATTGTGCACAGAGCTGTGGCTTAAGATTACTTTGCAATAACAGAATTCTTAGTTGGCAGCAGAGGGACTAAGAATACCAGAGATAACATACTCTGCATGACATTTTGCTGGCAGTTTTTCCACAAACACATGGCAATGAAGACTATCAGGATGAGAACCATCACGCCAAGGACACAGCCCACAATCAAGTACAGCATATCACTGCTTCGGACAGGACCGCTGGGCTGACCAGCGTTGCTTCCAGCACCACGGTCAGGAGAATTAGGTGGTGTACTAAGGTCCTTCACTGGATATTCTGATGCTCCAGGAGTACGCTTCACTAAAGGGGAGAAGACAAGTGTTCGACAAACAAGAAAAAATGATACTTGTTATTCTTGCCACAAGCAGAAGTCCATGAAGAGTTACAAATACTATGAACTTTAAAATATTGAGATACTGATGTGGATAAGAGGGAGATCTCTCCACTGGACACTTTAATCCATGCCAGTTCTATATTGTGAGTAATTTAGGCACAGGGGTTTAATTTAAGTATGATAGAAATGAGTCAAATGATCTCATTTACATGCTATTTTTTCCATGTTTTAAAGAGCGGAGATAACTAAAGTTTCCCATTTAGAGTGACAGGGCATGTGCAGTGTTGCTTCATATGTGTGACTTCAAGTAGTTTCTGACTTAAAGTGATGCTAAGGCAATCCTCTCATTTGCATATGCATTTATCGGTTTTAACTGAATTTTTAAATATATTTTAGATTTTAAATTGTACTGAAATGCTTGTAATGTAAGCCGCTTTGAGTCTCCTTATGGAGAGAAAAAGAAGGGTATAAAGAAACACAATAATAATAATAATAACAACAACAATGCTCTCCAAAAATTACCTAGTGGGCTTCCTTGGCCAAGTAGAAAACAGAACCCTTAACATGGACTTCCATCCACCAAAACTTGCAGGTAGACGTATCTTCACCCTACTTTTTTCTGATGACACTGCTCTACTGTCAAGAACACTAACTGGACTTAAAAGAGCATTGAGAGCTCTGGCACAATATTGTAATGTGAACCAGCTACAATTCAGCTACCCAAAAACTAAAATCATGATGTTTGCCAAGAGACCCAAGCTTCACCTCTGAAATATAGATGGAACTGAATCCTGGTCTCCATTCATTGCCCAATGCTCAAATGACTACACCACACTTGCTGTATATGTGATCTTGGGCTTGAAAGTCATGGTTTTGTGAATGGGATGAGAAATGTCTGAAGAAAAAGTAGAATAGTTTCTCTGCAAACTCAAGTAGCCAGGACAGCTAAAACAGATGGTTATTTTAAAGGTGTAGAATGTGTGACCTTACTAGAATGTAGTTCTCGTAATCCTTCTCCATAAGCTACATAACTATGAATCATGAGATTTGCAGTCTAACATCTGAGGAACCAAAAATGTGTATCCTGAATGTACTTGAGAATGAAGTTTACTGAGCAGATACTATGTGGATAGTGATTTGATATCAGAATAAAAAAACCTAACAATCCAATCTCACCTTTCGTCTCACATATCATGACATTGCTATAGTCACTTTCACCTCCTTCATTGTAACATTGCATTTTAATGTCATAGGATGTTTCAGGTTGCAGGTGGCTTATCAAGTGCCACTGTTTTGTGCCTAGAAATAATAGGAATAAACAGATGTTGTCTTGGCTCAATAATTGTAAACAAACAAACAAAGAAAAAAAGATTTAAAAAGTACAAGCGCCCCCTCCCCCAAAAATTGTCTGGACATTTCTGCCATTCATCTTTTAAAATGGCTGAGCAGTTTTTAAAGGTAATGTCAAAAGCCAAATTCTGGTAGACTAATTTTCCATCTTTTTGCCTTCAAAGCAGGGCTAGGCATAATTAAGCATACATGCTAGACATAGCCCCGGATCTCTGTTTGCATCACCAAGCTCTCCAAGACATCCCAAAACACTCAGAAACTCAGCCCAAAATATGTTTGGCTGGAGTTTAAAAAACTGCCTGAAAATCATCCAAATGGTCAGCATCTATGATCCCTTATATTGGAAGCATGTAGAAGCCAAAGAATCAGGGGTGATTTGAGTGCAATATTCCTGCTTCTTGGCAGGGGGTTGGACTGGATGGCCCATGAGGTCTCTTCCAACTCTTTCGATTCTATGATTCTATGAGTGACTGAAAGTAAATTAAAATACAATTGGCTTCTAGCTTGCAGTAAACAGGTCATTGTAGCCTATCCGTTACTGGATTCCTTGGGAATAAAAATTAAATGCAACTGTTTACAATAAGTAAACGCTGGCACTACAATATTTCCTAAAGTATTTCTAACCCACCTTTACCAATAATTTCAAAGTCAATAAAGACACTTCACCATAAATTGATAAAGCTACAGCAAAACCTCACAGTTCAACATGCAGCCAGCCATAATAAACCAGAACACTGATATGATACCAAGACAAAAAGCATGGCCTTAAACCAGTGCTAAATTCAAACCAGCACTGATGGAAGGGACATTCTAAGAATGGATGCCAGAGGGGTTGTGTTTCTAACCAGAGCAATCTTATTTCACCTCCAACTGCCACTTTACACATGGAACAAACACGAGTATAGGACTACTGTTGTTATCAGAACTGACTGTACAGAGATCTTGACTGAGTTAACATAAAAGCATAACAATATATGAATGTATGCCTCTTGGAGTACTTTGCTAAGAGTTTGAAAGGGCATCAGTGTCTCACACAATGTCTTACTTCATTCATATTTGTATCAAATATGCTTAGATGCAAATTTAAAATACAGGCTGAAATGGCAAGCAAGTTTTCCTTGAGACATTATTTTTTTCTTGTAGCTCCATCTTTCATTCTACTCCAAGTATTTCTTTCAGTAACCATATCAGATTTAGGTTTTTCTTCCTATAATTACTAACAGTGGAACAAGAATGTAAACTTTGTTCTCTGAAAAAAAACCCAACTGTCATCAGACTACAGATTGCTTTTTTGAGCACTATCTCCAGGAACTTGAGATGGAATGTTTCAGCACATGGGATGTTCAGGAATGGGATTTTTGCTGAACAGGCAGAAAAGCAATGAATGATGTATTTTTGAAAAGTTAGCATGTACCAACATATATACAAAAAATAGTAGTTCTGACTCAGTATCAAGAGACAAGTCCAAACAAGAAATCACAACCATTACAAATGTTTTCTTTTTCTTTTCTTTTTGCTAACTGAATGTAACCAAGAAATCCTTGGTCAAAGTTTACGCTTATTAAAAGGGTAAAAAGAATGTAACATTGTAGTGATTGTAGTGTAGGCATGACATACAAATGACACATAGTATCTAAGAATTTCCTCACATAGTTGCTACACTGAGTGGATATTACAATTAAAAATAGTTATTTTCTGTATTTGACAAAGCTTTGATACCATCTCAGTGAATGTATCTGTTCATATTTTGGCAAAGCAGACCAGCTGCTAATGGTTTTAGATTTTCACTAAGATGTCCATATGCATAAAGCTGAAAATCAGGAACAAGCAAATTTCACAGAACAGTGGAAGTCCCTTAAACATTTACAAATGGAACAGCCAACTACCTCAGAGCTCTTAAGACTTCAATTAATTTCACTTAGCACACTACAAAGCATTTGGAGGGCCACTGCAGAGTAATAATAATGCACATATGAATCCAAGAAGGCCGACACCTTATATCAGTGAAAGCCACTGTGTGCAATTCTGAGAGCAGATTTTACAACAGGAGACAGCATGAAAACCAAGAATGGCAGACAACCAACTGCTAGCTCTTGGACTCAATTTTATTATTTTGGAATATATAGTTAGAAAGCCCTCAAACTGCTAAATATTCATGTAATTTGAACAGCCAATAATTTTCCAAACACATTTTGAATATGTATTGTCGAAAGTTTTCAGGGCCGGAAACACTGGGTAGTTGTAGATTTTTTGGGTCATATGGCCATGTTCTAGAAGCATTCTCTCCTGACGTTTTGCCTGCATCTATGGCAAGCACCCTCATTTTAAGCAAGTGGGCTGAGTAAAGAACCAACACAAAAATGGGAAAATCTTAGTTGGACAGAAAAAGGAGTCTTGAGAAACCAAATGAATACACTCCAGAAATTAATTAATTAGAATAGAACTTTGAGTACCAGAAATACAAGGAGTGGCCATTACTATAGTCTGAATGGAAGTCCTTATTACATTGGCAAAATGTTCAAATATAATCTTCCTGGAACAATAGGAAGGAAAAGCATAACTTCCAGTCATCTCAACCAGAGCATAAGTGCAGAGCAATCAATGGTTATGATATAAATGCGGGCTTTCCAAATTCTCACTGTTTCAGAGAAACAATTAAATTTAAGCTCAAATTGACAGATTTATGGGGGCTCTTATTGTTTTGCTAGTGCTTTCCTTGGTTCAGGAAAGGAAAAGAAAAGAAGGTATAGCTCTATGGACCGATATCTTGGAAAAGAGGAAAGAAAAAGCATAGCACCTTACCTTCCACAACATCCCTCTTGTAATCACTATCATTGTCACTATCTGTTGGACGGTAGTAGATATAAAATCCTTGGATTGGTGTGTTGTTGTTACTGGAGGTAATATACTAAAAAAGAAAGTTTTAACAATTTCAAATTCCAGAGCTATAAACAAGGGAGTTTGAAACAATCAAGAACAATATTATCTGTGAAATTCCAGTTTTAATTAGTTTAATTGTATTCTGAACACCCATACAACTGTAGCCTTTGATTCACAAGTTCTCTTGGAACCCTAGTAAGAACACTTAAACCAGTGCACCAAGCTGGGTTAATATTTAACTGAATGGTACTATGTAATATGCCCCATTTCATGCAAATCCTTTGTGTTGCAAGTGAGCAAAGTGTGAGCTACAAGCCATAAGCTGTATTTGTTCTTTATCCTCTCCACTTCCTCCAAAACAGTGGCACCAAGCACTTAAAGACATTAAAACAAGAAAAAAAATGCTTGTTTCAGGAGGTGGTTTTTTTCATGCATATGTGGTTTCTCGGTACTATTTGTCAGCAAGCAGAAGTCCATTTGAACAAACACTTCCTATTTGCTTTAGTGGACTTTTCTGATCTGCCAACAAGTTTTGCTAAAAGAGTGACAGGTTGTGTAGCAAAGGGCTTCATATCTCTACCAGTCACTCAGGGGTGCACTCACATTATGCCAGTATACAATACACAGAAAAACAAACAAGTGGGATGTTAAATAGAAAGTTTTTTGTATGCAACACAAAGAACACCCTGTTTCCAATGCCATTTGGCCACTTGAAGAATGTACTTCAAAGGTTTTCAAACATAGACTACTGGCTGAAAGGCTTATGCAGCTTTTTGTTGTCCGCAAAACAGAAGTGAAAACAGTACAAACATGAATTCCAACATGAAATCAAAGTGATACTCATGGTTTCATAGTAGACATGCCCTTCCTATGAAATATTCTTTGAAAAAAATGAGAAGAAACTTATACTTACGGTCCACTTCAGCATAATCTGAGTGTCACTAACTGCCTCAGTATAAGCAATATGAGGTCCTGTGATGGGACGGTTGGAAAATCGGTTGGTGAAGCCAGCTACCTGATAAGGCCGAGATGCAGCACTTCGTGGACTCTCCCCATAATTATTAATAGCAATCACACGAAACTTATATAAGGCTCCTTTTTACAAATGGGGAAAGAAAAGAAAAAAGTGAGCATATTAGAAGAATGCAATAGAAGAATGTAATTCCGGTCCAGATTCTTTTTCCAAGACCAGTTATCTTATACCTCTACAGAGTTTCAGGGCACATTTCCCTTGAGGAACCTCAGCAACAAAACAAAACAAAAAACAAAACTGCCTGATATATTTTAGAAAAATACATTTCTCAAGCTTGTAATATTTCTGTCTCCCCTGGCTCTGATTGCATAACATCTACCCTGGCAAAATACTAGATTAGATATGATTTTCTATCAACAATAATAATTATTTGAAACACAACAAGATTAGTACACAGCAAACAAGATCACTATGCTGGTTGTTGTATTGGATCACATGTTGAACACTTCCCAAGTGTCTAGGACTATGTGATGTATCAGCGAATAATGCGTGCAGATCCCAGTAGGGCGGCTTTTGCAGCCGATTGTCTTCAAGTGCAGGCCAAGTTCTTTAGGCACTGCATCCAGTGTGCCGATCACAACTGGGGCCAACTTTACTGGCTTGTGCCAGAGTCTTTGCACTTCCATCTTTAAATCGTCATATCATATCAGCTTTTCCAGTTGTTTCTCTTCAATCCTGCTGTCGCCTGGAATTGCAACATTGACGATCCATGTGGTTTTTTAACATGATAGTGAGGTCAGGAGTATTGTGCTCCAAAACTCTTGTCTGTCTGAATCCGGAAGTTCCAGAGTAGTTTGACGTGTTCATTTTCTGTAACTTTTTCAGGCTTGTGATCCCACCAGTTCTTTGTCACAGGCAGATTGTATTTGTGGCACAAGTTCTAATGAATCATCTGAGCAACGGTGTTATGCCTCTGCTTGTAGTCTGCCTGCACAATCTTCTTGCAGCAGCTGAAGATGTGATCTATTGTTTCTTCTTCTATTTGTTTCACTTGCAGAAGCCCTCTGCCTCCTGATTTTCTGGGCAGGTAAAGTCTGTCGACATCACTACGCAGGTGTAATGAGTAATGGATTGTCATCAGTTTTCTTGATTTCCTGTCCAGATAATCCAGTTCTGCTTGTGTCCAGTTTGCAATTCCAGCAGTGTATCTGATGACTGGGATGACCCAGGTATTGATAGCCTTGATCGTATTTCCACCATTTAATTTCCTTCTTTGCTGACCACATTTTTGATGCTGTTGTTGTTGTTATTATTATTATGTTTCTTTATACCCCGCTTTTTTTTCCACAAAGAAAACTCAAAGCGGCTGCGGAAGGCATGCTATCAGCCACAGAAGTGACCGATTCAGTTTCCATACTGAATTAGGATATTAAAATATAGGCATGGGAAGTACCTTAAACTTAGATGAAAATGCTGTTCAGATTGTTAGCCAAACAAAACATTGTGATATTAGGTAGAATGTGTGGTCATTTTCTGGATTTTATTTTGTTGTTGTGGAATGCTCACAGTTCAATAGGATGACCTGGACAACACTACAGGCAGTCCCTGAGTTACAAACATCCGACTTACAAATGACTCACAGTTAAGAACAGGGCTGAGATAACAGGAAGTGAGAAAAATCTTCCCCTCAGAAGGGAAATTTGCCCCTGAAAGGGTTATTATCCACTGAAGCTTTATCTCCCAGTCCTTGTTTCCACAACAAGTCAAAATTTTCAAAATCCAATTATCTCAGGGACAGGAAGTGTGGTGAAATCTTCTGAACAGGGGCATAAACAGCAAAACAAACACCACAGGACTGTTAACCCTTCCCTATGTTATCCAAAGCTATGTAGATATTTTTGACTGGAGTTACACTGAAAAATGTACCTGTTTTGACTTACATAGAGATTCAACTTAAGAACAAACTTACAGAATGTATCTAATTCATAAGTTGGGGACTGTCTGTACAACTATATAAATATAACACTAACACTGATTATAACCTCTGTTTGATAAGACAAGATATGCGCATTAATACCTGGATCCAAATTGCGAACCTCCACTGAAAGTTTGGAAGGAGAGATGTTATCAGCTGCAACTAACCACTCATTGTTTCTGTTCATGCGTTTATATTCTACTTTAAAGGCAGTGATGGGTGATCCACCATTTGCACGAGGGATCCAAGTGACATAAACAGAAGATTCTGAGGCTGTGGAGATAGTAGGTCGATCTGGTGCTTCAGGTACTAAAAAAAGAAAAGTTAAGGAAACTTTTAAGGAAAGTACAATTGATTTCTGTACTTCTGTTTCGTGTAATCATGTTTCAATCAAGTTGAAAGAAGTGAGTAGGGTATATAATTTTAGGAAATCTTTCCTTGAGTGCAAAGACCTGTAGTCAAAGACAGAATTGAAACTTCTTGCTAAAAACATCTTCTATCTTGGCAGCTTTAGTTTATTGACTATGCTATGAAGAATATTATGTCAGCATCTGTCTGCACACATCAGAAACAGAGAACTATCGTTAATTCATGTCCACTGAAACAGGTGCACAAGCTGCTCATTGCTACTGATACGAACTCAGCTTATTCCACAGAAACCAAACTATTTGCAGAACAGAAGGTCCAGAACTGAAAATGCCTGGACTGGTGAAAGCTTTAATTTTATAGTTGCTAAGTATTAAGAAGTTTTAAAGCCCTCACTTAAAAGTAAATTAGCTAGCGATCAAAACCATGCAATCATATTTATACTTACTGAACTCACTTGAAGTTAGACAGCAGTGGGAACAGAAAGAATGGAGAGAAGTGGTATTAGGCAGATTGTAAGAATTCTGACAGACATAACTCTTCAATCTTTCCCAAACAGGCTCACATACTGTTATGAACTAGGCTTCATCATTATAGCTGACAAAAAAGATTTTAGGCAGAAAGATGCCCCCTGCATAATCTGAACAACAAGAGGCTGGTAGGGCGTGTTTTCCTGGATCCCTGGCCATCTCAGAAGAAACCAAGCCTTATTTTAAAAGGACACATTGGAATTTTTGTTCAAAACTCGCTCCTTCTTACTGACAAGGAAATTGTCTCATTGCTGCATTCCAGAGAGCAATCAGCACTTAACTGTCTTGTTTACATGTAATGAATGAGAGATGTTATCAAACTGGTTCTGAATGGTACACCTTATAGTTGGCTGGCTTTTTGTCATGTGGTAACTCAATTGTTTTCATCAGAGGATCATCAAAATCATTAGAAGTCATTATCAGAGGCTAACAAGCAGAGGTCATGTTCACATCTGCCTTTTGGACAGACCCCTTTCCCCCCTGAACTCATTGTTTCAAGCACACGAAACCATTTTTTGAACTTCCCATAGAATACCATAAGAGCCTTGTTTTCCTCACACAGAGGTGTTTCCTTCATTCCAGGTTTTTTTGGGGTTTTTTTGTTGTCGTGTCAGAAGTCGCTTCTGGTGTGAGAGAATTGGCCATCTGCAAGGACGTTGCCCAGGGGACACCCGGATGATTTTGATGTTTTTATCATCCTTGTGGGAGGCTTCTCTCATGTCCCCGCATGAAGAGCTGGAGCTGATAAAAGGAGCTCATCCGCCTTTCCCCGGATTCAAACCTGCGACCTGTCAGTCTTCAGTCCTGCCGGCACAGGGGTTTAACCCACTGCGCCACCGGGGGCTCTGGTGACAGTCCCCAAGTTAGAAACAGGTTAAATATAGGTATAGATGCAAAGGCTTTCTTAGACTGGTTAAGTTTTTCAGCAGCTATTTTTTTCCTTTGAGAAACAGCTTGTTGAGTGTCTGCCGCTATCTATTTAGGTCCAATAAAGAAATAATTGCTTTTTGCTTTAAAATTAGCTTGTCCTTGACCTGACTTATTTTCCATTTTAGAGCTACTTTGAATTAATTATCTGTTTTAAAAACCTTTTTACCTATAAAGATCCTGCAGCGAGTGGGTGCTTTTCACCCAAACCAGTAAACTCAGGGAATGTTCTTAACAATACTTAAACAATGTAGGATGTATCACATGCACACACACAGAGAAGTATTTAATTAGAAAATGAAGGAGTAACATTTACTACCAAACAAATGGCAAATTACTTTTAAGACTAGTTTATAGCTTATGCAGCATGTAAAACATATGCAGAGTCTTATTGAGTTAGACATTTGGCAGTGATTTTTTAAAAAGTTTGCTGGACTTCCAATTCAATGACTAGAACCACAAAAGAAACCCTGATGTATAAATGAGTTGAAAGCATAGGACAGCAGTAAGGTGAGGTTCAGAACAAAGTCCTAATTTCAAAATTGCCTTGCAGGTTGGAACATACCTCCGCTATGCCGAGAAGAATCAGGGAGGATCACACCAAAGTTGTTGACTGCACTTTCTTGAATAACTGGGTGCTTAGGAACACCAAACGGTTGAGAGGGAGCTTGTGTGGTTTTCTTTGAGGATGATGACCTTTCTAACAAAGAGAATATTTGCTTAGTAAATTGCTGTGAAATATCCATTCCCAAGCACACATCCTACACATAATTTATCATTTCAGAATAGTGTTTAGTCCTATTCTAAAAAAGTTAAATATGTTGGCATAATGTTAATGAAACATTTGATTATGATTTTGGACATCTTTCAATTTATGCAAATTGGGTTTTTGCAGTTGTCCACGCCTGTGTATGTAAAATAGTCAGAAAGCTCTAGTCATAAGAGAATATTTTGTGGCCTGCTCTCATTCGTATGTTTTTTTTAATTGGTGCAATATCAGGATGTATTTGGACATACTCAGAAACTCTCTTGATTATGAAGATATATTTAAGATATATTTCTTGCCTTGTAAGGAATCCCCCCCCCCCCCCAAAAGATACATTGGGATTTATTTATTTATTTTTTTGCATTTGATATGGGGGGGGGGGGGAGAGAAGTAGCTGATAGCACTATTGCTGTTATCTAGATGGAAACAGTTCTAGTTAGGAATAGTTTGCATGGATTTCCCTTTAAAAATGTCTTAAACTCGAGTGAATGGCAAAGTATGTTATACTTATTTTGTACAAGTTGCCATCTGCATACAGATCTAGACATGTTTCATTATTTCTGAATGTATATTTTCTGATTATATATAAGATTGTGTCAAATAATTAATTAAAAATGCCTCCTTTTTTCAAGGGGGGCTTTTGCATACACACACACACACACATATATATATAAAGACACAAAAAGAATAGTGTTTAGTCCTATGAAAAAAGAAAGCATCGATAAACAAAACTATGCAAAATTTGCATAAAACAATGTGTTGTCTATGATTTAGATAAAACAACAGCAAAGGAAAGTGCATTCAATTGACATAATTACATCTACCTATTAGAAGATCTCCTATTTGTGAATGGAACCAACCCTGATGCATACTTCTAGTTCACAGCAAGTGCTGGGTATGGAGTTCTAACATGACTATTTCTATCATCTCTTTCTGGAGGGAGTATTAAAACAGCAAAGCCAACATGTATTGGTTTGAAAGTTTGATGCTGAAGAACAAGGCTCAAATCCTTGGATACCCAGTGGGTTAACTTCATCAAGTCACAATCTCTCTGTTGTGAGTCAGCATTCTGACACCATACCTACTACTAGTAGTAGGAGAAGAAGAAGGAGTGATGCAGAAACAGAGGAGAATCAGCGCCAGCTGAAACGCATTCGTGACATCTTTCTGGCTCCCAGTGATGAAGAAGACTTTGCAGGATTCAGGCCAGAGGAGGCTATGGAAGCAGATTACAGGGGAGTGAAGAGAGTGGCTAGTGATTCTGGCAGTGAGAGTGACACTATGTCTAAGAGGCTTAGAGACACAGCAGATAACTCCAGTGATAGTGAGGATGAGTTGGAGGAGGCTGTAGACTGGACTCTGGTTCAGAACATTAGAGACATTTGCAATCAAGCAACATCAAGTGATGATTTTGAAGGTTTTAGGGATAATGGGAATGAGAGTACTGATTGGCAGGATCAGGCACTAGAGCAAAGGTGGCAGGCTTGGCGTGGTGTAGATGCTTCAGCTGCGGGAGCAGAATCAGATGCAAGCAATGAATCTCATTCTTCTGATAGTGAATAAAATGAGCACTCTGGGACCTATTCCTTTGCAGACGACAAAGTGTTGTTTCGTGTTGTTCTCTGCCTAATCTTGTTTTGGATTCCCAGTATCCTGTTTTCCCTGCCGTGCCTCGGACCTTGGAACCTTTGCTCGTGAGTGTACATCTGGCTTCTTGACCCTTGGAACTGACTGACTACACGTTTGCCTACCGGATTTTGCTCCATGCCTTGCAACCCTTAAAGACTGTTTGTTTTGTATTCTGCTCCTAGTTCATCGTATCTCCTGTTATTTCTTGGCTGCAATTCAAGCCTGCTTATCTAGCGTTTTGTGTTCCTGTTTGAAAACATCCTTTGAACTGTTTGCACTGACTTTTAAAGTGCCTCATTAAGTTTGTTTTGCATTAAAATACTACTATTTTGCACCTCAACTGCTGTTTAAGACATTCTGTGTTCTGTGGGTCACGACACTCTCACTCTCAGAGGACAGCCCTCTGAACAAATCTTGTCAAGAAAACCCTTTAACGTTATAAGCCAGAAACTCCTTGAAGACACACAACACTTTATGTTTGCAGCTTCAGCAAATGGAACACATGAACTGAAACATATTCCAGGAATCAAAAGATAGCATCATCAAATGCTTCCTTACCTTTGCTAGTGCGAAATGTAAGCATGGAAGGTTGGCCTTCTCCAGCTACATTTCTGGCTACCATCAAAACTTCATAGAGACTAGAAGGTTCCAGTTCTGAGAGACAAAGTTCATTTTCACTTCCGGGGACACGAACTGTATACCAGTTAGTAATATTGATATTATCATCCAACTGCAAAAGAAGAATCAGAAGAGGCTAAGTGCAGAGGAAAATATCTCTACATCTGTTGTGATAAAATAAATAAAAGGACCGAATCTATAATACTAATACTAATACTACTACTACTACTAATAATAACACTTTATTTGTACCCTGCTACCATCTCCCCAAGGGACTCGGTGCGGCTTACATGAGGCCGAGCCCAAACACAACAATACAAGCAATAATCACAACAATACAAGCAATTAAAATAAGAACATAGACAATAAACATATAACATTATCAATAAGATAACATACAGTTAAAACTGTGGGAAGACCAAATGTAAAATTAAAATTGGAAATAGTGCTGGAGCATGGACAAAAAGGTGATAGTGGCGTTTGTGGAAAGACATACTAGCAGATCTAAAAATGTAATCTAATCTAATGCAAGATTTTGTATTAGGTGACTATATATATTATTTTATGAACACAGATTATTTCAGTAGAGCTGAAAAAGTTATTGTGGTATTGCTGATTTCAAATCAAGATGGGATATCAAGCTCAGGATATCCAGATATGAACAATCTCAACTCACAAGAGGCATCTGTTTTAAAACTTAGGCAATCATGTTCCTAGTATTAATTTTGATGCAAAGTCACTTTTTATAGCTTGTGGCTAGGCATACATTTTTCCTCAAAAATAAATGCACCAAAATCAAACACTTACACAATTTCTGTTAACAACCTTCCCTATCACTAATAATGCAAGTATGAATACCAACACTAAGGCCCCACAGGTTCAACATACACTAGACTTGTCATCTGTTTAACATTATTGTTAAATATCACGTTTTCAAAGCTTTTTAGGATATTCACTTTAAAAACAACCTACATCAAGTATGATTCCTTCCCCCTTCTAATAAAATGGTAGCTCTATTCCAGGTTATCCCTCACAACAAAAAAACAAAAGGTAAGCTTATTTTATAGACAACTCAATGAAAACTTACCTTGCGATATTTCACAAAATAAAAATTTATTGGTTGGCCACCATCCCTTCCAGGCCTCCACACAAGGTTGTACTGGTCTGGCTTGAGTGTTTGTGGAGGGCTAAGAATGATTGGAGCTTCTGGTGGGGATATTCCATTAGATGTTTTTTCTGTGGCAATTTCATCAGTAAGAATTTCTGTTGTAGATGAGCTTTCAGGGTCCATTTCTAAATCATGATTACCATCTCCTTCGTCACTCTGGGCAGCCTCCACAGGAACTATTTCTTCTGCTTTTGTACTAGCTTCATAGGAAACTACAGAAGGAAGTTGTAGGTTAGCTATACACCTGGGCTTAATGTCCTTTTCTGTGATGCATTTGGCAATTATTATAGCGATTCACAGATTTTTAGGTTCTAGACCAGTGGTTCTCAACCTTCCTAATGCTGCGACCCCTTAATACAGTTCCTCATGTTGTGGTGACCCCCAACTATAAAATTATTTTTGTTACTACTTTGTAACTGTAATTTTGCTACTGCTATGAATTTTAATGTAAATATTTGATATGCAGGATATATTTTCATTTACTGGACTACATTTGGCACAAATATCTGATACACCCAAATTTGAATACTGGTGCAGTTGGGGGGCGGGGAGGCTGATTTTATCATTTGGGAGTCGTAGTTGCTGGGATTTATAGGGCTTTTGGTGGGAGGATGTGCTGTCTATTTCCGAAGAGGAAGATAGGCAGAGAGATTTTCAGCCTTCTCTGCCAAAGGGGTTCCTAAGACCACCAGGAATATGTTTTCTGATGGTCTTTGGTGAACCCTCTAATATCATATCTCCCTGTGACCCACCCCCCCCCCAGTGGTCCTGACCCCCAGGTTGAGGAAACACTATACTAGACCCAGCATCCTGCTCTCCTTACATGTCACTTTGACATCATCCTCCCAAAGGACAAAATGGGCATGATAGTATTAATCAGGGATATAACTGCTTCAGCATGAAACATATAAATTCTGAAGTCCCTATCAGAATGAGAATGAGATGTTTCTAGCATAAGGTTTTGTATCCAGTCCACTTCATCAATGGTATGCTGATGAGATTTAGACCTGAATACTCCCAACAAATAATTTAAAAAGGCATTACAGACACAGCACATCCACTCCAAATATTTGCTCTCTACTACATATCAGACCAATTCCGATGCCACTTACCAACTGTAAGAAATGTCTCTGAATGCGCAAGCCCATGTTCATTTGTTGCTTCACACGTGTATTTCCCAGCATGTTCTGATGTTACTGGCTGGACATAGAGGGAGCTTGAACTGCCCCGAGACATGATGAAATAGGCTCTGTCAGAAATGGAGCTACCAGTTCTTGCTTGTGAAGAAAGCTTCCTTGATTTTGAATAAAGAACCTGTGAAGGGTGGCTAGTAATCAGCCCTTGGCTATTATACCAACGAATGACAGGAACAGGTAGCCCAGTGGCGTTGCAAGACAACATGACTGTTTCACCATCTGTCACTTTGATGCTTGCTGGCAGTGAGGTTACAATAGGCTTGGATCCTCTATCTATTTAAAAAAAGAAACATAGAACAATGTTTTAATAAATTATTGTGCAAGAGATACCATTAGAACAGTGGTTCTCAACCTGTCTGTCCCCAGATGTTTTGGCCTACAACTCCCAGAAATCCCAACCAGTTTACCAGCTGTTAGGATTTCTGAGAGTTGAAAACCAAAACATCTGGGGACCCACAGGTTCGGAACCACTGCATTTGAACATTTATTCAATCCTTATGTGCACAGACTGCCTTGTGCCAAAATTATATCAAAAACTACCCATCGAGTTCTTGAAACAATACTAGTTCTGGTTAAGAGAATAACTAAATTGTCAATAGTTAGCATGAACAAATTTGTTTATGTAGGTTTTAAAACAAACTACTCCTAGTTTTCAAATTTTAATTTTCTTAACTTTAGAAACAAATTGAAAACTTTAAAATGCACTCCACAAAGTACACAGAGATAGAGACACTATCAGAATGTTCAGTTTGATATCCCATGTAAAAGCTTAAGTAGACTGAAAGAGGTGAAGAAAATAACTAAAACAGAATAATTGTTGTTGTGGCTTTTTTGTTTTACCTGCTTGGAAATGAATTCTCCCAGTAGAGTGCACAAATCCATGGCCATTGTTCACTAAACACTGATACAACCCTGTATCTTCTCTGGTGACACCAATAATTCTAAGCTTGTTTCCTGAAAGCAAGTGCCGTGGTGAAAGATGGACAGGAGCTGCATTATGGTACCACGTGAGATTAGGTATTGGGGTTCCATGTATTTCACAGGAAAGATGCACATTTTTACCGAAAGATACTAACTGATCCTGCAGTCCTTTTGAAATTGAAGGGGATTCTAGAAATGAAAAAGGAGAAAGTTTTCACATATGCTATTCTTTTGTACTAGTATTTTTGTTAATTACAGATATCTTGCTTTCTTAATCTATATATAAAGTATTTTGTCACTGACATATCTTACCAAATACATTAACGCTGTAGTTTATATGTTTTACAACTCCGAACTTGTTATTCACCACACAGGAGTAATTTCCAGATTCTGATGCATCAATTGAGTCAATTGCAAGATGGGTGTGAAAAACCCTCCATTTGCCTCCAACAAGTGCATCTTTACCATCTTTATACCAATGGACAGAAGAGACAGACAACCCGCTAACAACACACTCCAACATCAGAGGGCTGTGTGCTAGTACTGTCAAAACCGGAGAATTGGTGGTGTGAATTATATCAAAATCTCTTGAGGAAGAGCCTGAAATTGAAGAGAAAAGAAACAGACATTTAAAACTAGGTAGCTAAAAGTCCTTGATTTCCCGTATTTTTCTTTTTGGGGATGGGGGTGGGTTATGTGCTGTTTTATTCATACTTCCACATGGTGATTGGTGGATCAGTCATGGGAGACATAACACTTAACTGTAATTTATTCACTTATACATGTTAAGTCTGTCCCTAACACCATTAACAAGCTAGGGCCTGATATGCAGAATGCAGACAACTAGTAAGGGCTGCTAACCATCCTCCCATTACCACTTGCTGACTTAATTTTGCCTCAACATAGGGAAAGCTGCCTAGAATGACGGGCAGCAATTTTCCAGGGATTCATCATGTTAAGATATCAGAGACGATATACCATATATACTCGAGTATAAGCTGACCCAAATATAGGCCAAGGCACCTAATTTTACCATAGAAAACTGGGAAAACGTATTGACTCGAGTATAAGCCGAGGGTGGGATATGCAGCTGTCACTGGTAAATTTCAATATAAAAATAGATACCAATAAAATTAGGTTAAATGTTTTTGAATATTTACATAAAATTTTAATTTAAGATAAGATTGTCCAACTCTGATTAAACCTTTATTCTAACCTTCTTCAATGTAAATGTGCTTACGTATCCTTCCAATAATAATAAAGAGAGCAAAATAATAAATATAATAAATATACAGTATATTCTGGCGTATAAGACTACTTTTTAACCCAAGAAAATCTTCTCAAAAGTCAGGGGT